GTGTGTGTGTGTGTGTGTGTGTGTGTGTGTGTGTGTGTGTTTGGCTGGCATATTGCTTTTTAGTTCATAAAATGCACTCATGTTCTCTATTTGATGTGCCTTGAGGCAAACCTGGAAAGGAGCTGCTATTGTCCCTTTATTTCCAGATGGAAAACTAAGGCCTGGAGAGGGAAACATGCCAACTGGAGGTCAGAGAGCAAATGAATGATTGGTCTCTTCAACAAATATTTATTGATTATTGCTATGTGTCATGTATCCATCACATGCTGAGAACAAAATAGCAAAGCAGATATGGCACTCCCTCTGGTGGAACTTGCATGTTTTTAGGGAAACTGGACTTGGGAGCTAGGTCTAGGCTAGAGGTAGAAATTTCCCTTGGCTAGTGGAGAATATCTGAGACCTTTAGGGATAAATGTGTCATCAGGATGAAGTAATAAGATGGATAGAATGGCCACTGACCCTCAAAAGCAACCACACTTTCAAAGATAAGTTAAAATCCAACCAAAGAGCTTGCCACAAAGCAACCTGAGCAGTACACGAAAAGGACTGTTATTCATTCCGATGATAAAACTGCCTTGGGAAAGAGGAATCATTCAAGCAGATGCTAGCCACACAGTAAGACAGAATACATCTGTTGGCCGTGGTAATGTGCACATCACCAGATAAGTCATCAAGAGCAATTTTGGATGGCGAATATGTGCAGACAGTAGAGTAAAGTGGGTTGACAGTTAGAGTGACTTGAAAATCTTAGCTAGCCATTTACCACTGTTTCCTGAGGTGAGACGTAAGAAAATACAGAAAGCAAGAGCAGCCAGCTTTTAGTGGGGCATGCACATTTTAGAGCACAGAAGTTTTTGTCTTAAGTTGGAGTAGATGTAAATGCATTGAATATTATTATTGTAAAGATCATCAAAGTTTCAGTGAACAAGAAAAAAGAATTAGATTTTCCTCGTGAGTGAACATAGTCTTGGAACTCCATGTTAAAATAATGCCTGTTTTCTTCCGTTTTAAAATGAGCACCTAGTCGCATGTTCCTCCTAGAAAATAAGCAGTATGCAAGCCCCTCAGTATTCAGAAGGGTTCAGCCAATCAGGAGAGTCTGCTCAACGCTGTGCTCTTTCATGGACCACACACAGTCTCCAGCCCAGCGGCCCTGGCTGTGCTAGCGGTTGGACCATACTGTGCCACTTTCTTCCTGGATAAGTGAGCAGTTTGTTTGAGCAGTGTGCATAAGGCCACTGATGCTTCTGATTGAAATATGCAAGCTAATGATGAGTTTAAACTTGGTAATTCTGTAAACCACAGGATCATCTCTGAAATACCCACATTCCGTTTTGATAATGGAAACTTAATTCAAAAGTCAGTATTCAAAATAGAAAATATAATATTGGACCTTGTATAATGCAATGTTTTGATTTTGTAGAATTAAAACTATTCACAATTATCCAAGAAGTATTTAGTATCTAAACCTGAAATTATAATCTGTATTCCATCATTTTCAGACAAAAGAGGAATGCTATAAAAGTATCAGATTATACATTCAGAAAACAAAAACTCCCCCCAAAAAATTCAGGTATTTTAATTTGTTTGATTCTATAATATGAATTTTGTTTCAATTTGACATTTTAGGGTATATTTTGGTGCTAAAATGTATTTATGTTATTGACCAATCATGCCTTTTTCATATAATTAATACGTTAGGTGATATATACATATATAATATATATATGAAATAGTGACATTATTTATGAAATAGGAAATTTTAATATAAATTTTCACATTTATGACTATTTTAAATGAAACGTTTTCACTTGAAAGTTCCTGCTTGTGGTGTCATGCCATAATAAGGGAATGAATGCTTTAGCAATCCCCGGGAGAACTCTAAAGCTGTGTTTCTGTGAAAAGGGTTTGCAAGTCTAGAGAAATTTGAGGGTGCTGAGTTAGGAAAAGAGGCAAGTTTGTGGAGATTCAGAGAATAGACAGGTGTCAGAACACCAAACATCAAGTGGGGGTTAACCTTGGGCTGTGGGAGCCCCCTCCCCAATCCTGCAACTGCAGGACAGCCTGATGGTTTGACTGCTGTGGTGAAAGTGAGGTGGGCCAAGGCCAGATCTGTTTATTCTGTGCTTAGTGGGGGTCTTATCCATCCTGTACTTTGTTCACTGAGGGGTTCAGGAGTGTGATGGGCCTACTGTGCTCACTACCATGGTTAGAGAGCATCCTCTGTGCTTGGACTGGGGTGCTAGCCAGCTCTCCATCACTCTAACAAGTGCCTAAAACAATCACTTTATAAGAAGAAATGGAATGTTTTTGGCTCACAGTGTTAAAGATTTCTGTCCAAAATCAGTTGGCCCTGTTGCTTTGGGCCTGTGGTGATGCAGTGTTAGTGAGAGTGCTTGACAGAGAAAGCTGCTTACCCTATGGTGGGTCTTTCCAGTGAGCTTTCCATCCTTATGACAAGATTCCCAGAACACAACTTAAAGGAGAAAAACTTTTTTGGGGTTATGGTTTTGGATGCTTCAGAGTGTCTTTGGCTGGTCCCATTGCTTTGGGGACTGAGGTAAATCCAATAGCATGAGAGAGTGTGGCTGAGCAGAGCTGTTCTTTATTTGAGGGTCAAAGAACATGAAAGGCCAGAACCTGAGGCAAAATTAAGCCTTCAAAGACCTACTCCTCAGTATCCTACTTTGTATAAAGAGGCCCCACCTCCAAGTAGTCTGGTAAGCTATGGACTAATCCATTGATGTTTGCCATTTTACAGTCCTGTCACCTCTCAGTAGTGTCGCCAACTAGTCATCAAGCCTTCAACACATGAGATCTGAGAACCTTTCTTATCTAAACTACGACAATGAAGAAAAGGAGGGGGGCTGGGATCTACTGTCTTCTTCATGGGCACGCCTCCTGTGACCTGAAGACCTCCCAGTAGACCACATTTCATGGAGTGCCAATCTGAGAATTCCAAGTTTTAACACACAGCCAAGCAGAATAGCTAGTTGAGGCATTTTGAGTCCACAATACTGCTTAGCCATGACACAACTCAGTGTCTCCAGTGAGATCACTCCAGGCTGCTCCAAGGCCTCTACAAACCAGAGAGGAGGTGAAATGGTTCCCCAGAGGACTGGTCTCCATTGGCCACCTGGGAAAGACACTCTACCCTCTGTGATTTATATAAACCAAAAGTCTTAATGTTAAGTTTGAGGCACAAGGTTTAAAATATGTTCCTACCACCGAGATACTTTCTTGAATTAGGCATTCTAATTTAGAGGAATCATCACCAATGCACCTCACTGGGTGGTGATGAGCAGACGACGGAACCAAAACTCTGTTTTTTCTCATCAGTTCTTACATATACTCTAAAAGACTTTTAAGTCAGTGTTTTAAGGAGTCTGAGAATTGTTTTTGTAAGCCAAACCAACTTACTGAGAAGCCACTTAGATATTCTACTAGCTATGCCCTCGCCCTACAGACCTTTGGCGTTACAGCACAGGCTCTGCTTATTTGACTTGCTGTCATCCGTGGGATGGACGGTTAGGGTACGGTTCATTATCAAGGTTGTGCTGAGATCATTTTGTTTTTCATGTTTCTGTTCTTGGTTTTAATTAAAGACTTAGCCTTATTATAATAGTTATTTGCTTTGGGTTTTATTAACCCATTGAAGTACAGCAATGTACAATTGGCCTTCTCAGTGACTACATTTCAGAGTGGGCAGAAAGCACTGCAATTCAAGTATGAGAGCCTGAATTTGACTCCTTGGGATCCTCATAAAATCTGACAGTGTGAGCATCCCAGGAGGCCTGCCATGGGAAGATGGAGACAGAGACAGAAGCCTGGAAGCTCTTAACGGGCTAATCTAGAGCAATGCCAAACACAAGAGCTCCTATGCCAATGCAAGGTTGTCCCCTGACCTCCATATATACACCACACATGAATTCACACATGTGAATGTCTCTGCGCATGTGTGTGTGTGTGTGTGTGTGTGTGTGTGCGCGCGC